AGGGTGACCACTGGGGAAAGAGTGACTGTAAGGACATCAGCTGACACTTGAGGAACAGCGGGAAGGCCAGAGTGGCTGAGGGGAGGGGCAGGGGGACCAGCAGAAAGGGCCTGGGGGGGGGGTTGGGGGTGCCGGAAAAGCCGGGGCCAGGTCAGGAAGGGGAGCCAGGGAGGAAGCCAGGGGAAGGAGTGCGGCTTTTATTACAATTGTGGAAGAAGTCTCAGCAGGTTTTTAACTCCTGTATGATCTGACTTTCATTTTGGAAAGATCCCCCAGCTTTTGTGGGAGCTGATGGTGGGGACCACAGAGGTGGAAGCAGGGAGCTGAGGCCGGGACTCTCCCTGGAGTCCAGGCACGGGGTGGTGGGGGCTTGGCCTGGGGTTGGGGGAGCTGAGTTAAGCAGGTGGACTTCAGAGCTTCGGAGATGGACATGGTAGGACTCGCTGGTTTATCGGCCACTGGTCCAAGGCCCAGAGGCGGAAAGCGTGACCGTCCAGAGTTTGCGCTGAGAAGCGGCGCTGGTGGATGAGGCCACGGGTGGAGACGAGGAAGATGGGATGTTGCAGGGTGGTGCAGGGGGAGCTAGGAGTCGTGTTAGGCTGAGACGAGAGACCTGTTCACAGGAAGTGAGCTGCTGGGCACAGGAAGTGAGCTGCTGGGCACAGGAAGTGAGTTGCTGGGCACAGGAAGTGAGCTGCTGGGCACAGGAAGTGAGTTGCTGGGCACAGGAAGTGAGCTGCTGGAGATGAGTAGGGAAGTTGAGGCTGGATGTGCACGCTTGGATCAGGCGCCTATGAGGGGATTTGCAGCCCCGGGCCTGGATGAGCTTGCCGGGGGTGGGGGGGTGTGGGGAGACAGAGAAGGGAGATTGCTCGAGGCAGAGTCCAGGAACGATGGGTGCCGAGGCCTGGCAGAGGGGAGGCAAGCCAGCCATGCCGCCTGGCGCCTTCTTTTCTCATCACCCGCGATGATGGCCATAGTGCCATTTGTCATCAAAGGGCTGCGACCCCAAATGTGGGCTCTGAAACTCTCAGTATGTATACCCAGGATCCAGACATGCTCTTTTTTCGAAGTGTGACATAAAAAGTGAAACAGAAAATTAAGTTCTTCTAAAGAACATGCGAGCCCCTAAGAGTATGTCCTGCTTGAAAGGTTAAGGGCAAACCTCCAGGCATAAGTCAGCGGCATTTAAGCTGGCCTAACCTGGAATTTCACAGAACACGTGCCCATGCACCTGCTCTTGGAGGACAACTTCTGAGCAGCCTCACTGATGGCTGGCTGTGCGGTGGGCTGTGTTGTCACCACCCTTAGGACCCCTCCCTGTCCCTGGGCAGGGAGTGCCCTTCCTTGGGCTGGGCTCACTTCTGGGCTGCAGCCTCACGTGAGCAGAATATCTGCCTGCCTGCAAGGCCTCCAGCGGAGCGCCCCTCTCTCTGGGGCAGGGCCTTGCCCCTCTAGGAATCCCTGTTCGGAATGTCGTGATCCCTGTGTGTCAGAGAGTCGGGAAAGGAGGACATTTGTTTTTAAATTAAGAGGTGTAGGGTGGGGATGCAAGGAACAACGTAGAAAAGTTCCCAGGTGATTCTGGTTTTGATGGTAGAGGCAGCAAGTCACCTCAGAGCAGATCTTGGCTCCAAGAAGAATTCCCGAGTGTCCTTCTTAGCTATGAGTTAGGTAGATACTTAATGCCTTAGGGAAAGAATGGAACGAGGTTTTTGTGTTTGCTTTGGCAAAGAAAGGAGGATGCTTTCACTCAAGAAGTTCTTGCTAGAAGAGAGATGAAGCCTGGACCTCATTCTTTTTGGGGTTCATCATTGGAAGAACCTCTCTGTTGGCCAGAGATGATCCTTGGCTGAAGTTAGTTGATAGGAAAGGACCTGTGAGGACACTTGCTGGAAGAAATAGGGGTGTGGCATGGGGGCAGGAAGTCAGGGACTTGTGTCAAGGGAATGACTCTGAATGACCAACCATTATAGCCAACGCATCAGTGACAGTGCCCAACGGGGCTGGAATGATGAGAGCCCAGTGCAATCTCAGGGGTGCAGGATTCTGCTTCCTGTCCCCACCCTGGAGAAGCCATTCCAGGAAGACCCTCTTGATGCCAGATGGCCACCAACGACAGAAGGATGATCTGGTGATGCTGGGGCCATTCCAGTCCCTTCCGTGTGCCCATGATAGGGGGGAAGCTGGCCAGGGCTTATCATGCCCATTTTATAGGAGTAAAGACCAAGGCTCTCAGAGGGGAAGGCACTCACCAGAAGCCACAGGTGAACTGACTCCTGTCAGATCCATGAATCCTTGACTCCAGCTTCCAGGGGCGGGGGAGGCTGAGAGTCCTGTTTGCTTCCCATGGGCGGAGAAAATGATTGGGTGTATACTGAGATGGAGAGGACCATTTGAAATCTGAGGGCCTGTCTGGGTTGGAAAGGCCTAGAACTTGTAGCTACAGAGAATTGGATCTGAATATCAGCTCTACCCCAGACTGCTTTTTTTGACCCTTGGTAAGTCATTTAACCCTCTGAACCTCAGTTTACTTACCTGTAAAATGGGGACAACCTACATGCCTCCTAGGCCTGCAGGGTGGGTTAAAAGAGGTAACGTATGCAAAGCACTGAGACGGTGGCCCGGGGTGCCCCTCTAACTCCACACTGGTGTCCCCGTGTGCACGCACATCTCGGGTCCATCCCTACCACCGAATTGCTTCCATAGGGCAGGGTCCTCTCTTGTTTCTCTGAGTCCCCAAGACATACTATCGTCAACCCCGAGGATCTGAGGGGACACAGGCTCTCCGGGGGCTCGTGGGTTCAAACAACAGAGGAGAAAGCAACCGGAAGTCTTTGTAGAAGAGGGTAGGAAGTCGGAGCTACGCATGCAGGGCTGTGGGCACCGAGCCGAGAAGGTGAAGTCACCCAGCTCTGCCCACGTGTGGCTTGTGTTCCAGGTGTTCAAGGAAGAGGCAGCCTCTGAGAGAGAGCCTGTGAGATGTGGCCCCACAGGAACAGTAGCGACAGTGTCTGGAACCCTGGGCCGGGTGGCCCTGTGGTGCCGGGGATGGGGAGCCTGCCGCAGACCTGCGTCAAGGAATTTGTCCGGTACTTTCCTCAGGGCTGATGATGGCATTTGTGCCTGGGCAGGGGATGGGGGCGGCGGGGGAAGTGAGTGGTCCAGTGGGGTGTCACTAGCTAGGTGGGCCAGTGGGGGTGCCCAAAGATGAGGCCACCGCTTGGAACCGAGCGCGGCTGCTTAGCCCTCCTCACGGGACTGTGTTCCAGGTGTTTCTCTCGTGCAGGGTGCAGGGAGGGAAGGAGGAGGAGCCTTTCCTCCACCCACCAGCCAGGGGCAGTGACTCCAGCCCCGGGACATGGGCGGGCGGGTCCCACCACCTCGGTGGCCGTGGCAGGACACAGGGGGAGGCGGTGGGAGGGTGGCAGGTGGCCGGGCCAGATACCAGAGCCAGAACAAGTGGCCAGAAGCCCCGGGGATCCGAGCTGGGCTGGGAGGCGGCCCCCAGCAGGGGTCGGTGCCGCAGCCCTGCCCCGCCAGCTCCCCAAGGCCTGCCCCCGCTCCCCCTTCCCCTCCGCCCCCTCGCGGGCTGGCCTGTGGCTCCTCGCCTCGTGCCCCGGAGCCTCGGGCTTGCTGCTGTGCCTAGAGGGCACAGCCGTGTGTGCAGGGCCCGAGGGGTCCCTCCGAACCCTCACCGGCCTCCCAGAGGGGACCTAGGTGGGTGGCCGGTGGGCAGAGAGTTCTCTAGGGCCCGATGGCAGCCTTTTCTGATGACAGCAGTGACGACAGGAGCCGAGGTGGCCGCCACCCGCTGTGTGCCAAGACCCGTGTCAAGTTTTGGCAAACGGGCAGTTCAGGGAATCCCAGGCTGGGGGCTGGGCACCGCTGGCCCTGCCCCCAGAGCCCTGCCCGGAGCTGACTGCCGCCCCCACCCCGGGCTGTGGGCTGGGGTGGGGGAGACACCAGCTCTGGGCACACCGGGCCCCCCAAGTTGCTGCCACTGAGTGAAGCCTGGGGAACCCAGGGGAGGGGGGCGGGGCCCAGCACCACCCCAACCAAGGGGAATGGTCTGGGTTGGGGTCCGCCTCAGTGGCTGATGGCTCAAGACGCCTGTCTGGGCTCCAACTCCAGGCCCCACCCCCCGAGGTCTGTGTGCCCTTGGCTGTCACACTCCACCTCCAGCCTGTCTCCTCACCCCTCCATGGGGAATGCACCGTTGCAGGGGCAATGCTCTCTCGTGGCTTCGGGCCCATCGGACAGGAACCTCTCTTCTCTAGAGGCGCTGGGAAGAAGGGTTGCTTTTGGCGCGGCTGGAAAAGTGGCCTGGAGGCCCCACAGGCAGCTCACGCTCCACTCCATCAGGGGAGCAGGGGAGCCTGGGGCCGGCCTGCGCTCTGGGCCCTTGGGCTCCCTCTGCTTGGAGGTGCAGGGCAGGCTGACCACGGTGCTCCGAGCCGCTGGTCGGGTGAGGGGGTGCTGCCGACCAACTCTGGGGGCGGGGGCTGAAGTCTGGACATGGGGAAGGACCCGGTAGGAGGCCACAGGCCTGACCCATCTCCCCTCCAGCGTGGCCCACCACTGCTGGCCCCCCGATTCCCATGAGCACTTGGCAAGTTAGCGGAACTGGCCTGTCCCATCTGCCTGGCACCCCGGGCAAACTGGGACAGTTGGTCACCCTCTTCTCAACTGAGTCAAGGGTCAAGGTGGCTGGGTGGGGGGAGGAGGGACAGGATGGGTACCGTGGAGTCCCCATCAATGCCGGCCTTGGGGTATTCTGATAAAACCATATGGAAATAAGGCAAGCAAGTCACCGTTACCGAGCCCAGCCCTGGGTTTGTAGCAGAGCCTCAAGGAACGGACACAGCCCCACACTCAGCCAGCTCCTTCCCACGCCCCGCCCCCCCCATGGAAGACAATGGACAGTCCTCTTTATAAGGATATTTTTATTGAAAATTAAAAAGGCATGGTACTTTCTTCCTTGTAAGTAGCATCCAGCCTGCCTCCCCTACCCCCCCAACGCAGCCGGTCCTGCCCCCTGGGTGTTCTCCGCACAAAATCCACAGTAGTGTCTCACTGGTGGACAAGATGGCCCAGACCGCACGTTTGTCCACGGAGACAGAACTCCTAGGGACAAGAGCCCTCTTCGTGGGTGCCCCCGGCACACCGTCAGGAAGGCAGATCTCAGTGTTGACATTCATGCATTAGCGCGCACGACCTGGGCTGTTGAAATCAGACTTTGTACAGATTTGGAGAGTACAGTGATCTTATATAGATATAGATATCTCTTTAAATATATGCATATAACTATATATAATATATATGTCTATATTTTTACAGCTATTAGTCTTTCTTCCAAAACTTGCTTTAGAAGCTTCTAAGGAACACCTAAAAACTCTGGGAGATCCTATAGGCCATTCTAAGTTGGGCTCAACTAGGAGACAGTTAAAAAATATCTATTTGAGGAAAGGCGGAGAAGAAATGTGCATTTCGTTCTCGACCTCAACGTTTGGGCTAGTCTGAGGATTGATCTGTGTTGAGGGACTGCAGATACATTCCTGAAATAAACGTTCTGAGCTCAAATACCAGGCCGAGTGTTTTTTTTTTTTTTTCTTTCTTTTTTCTTGTCACTTAAGCCAAAACTCCGGTGAGGTCCCCTCGTTGCCACATGTGGGAGTTTCCAAATGGCCAGTTCTAGGTTTGGTGGGTTGACTTCTCACGTAGATTCTTTTTTAAGAACTGGGTTCTTCTTTTGGTTTTCACTAACTGAGCGATAAGACTTTATAAACACGATTTGGGGAATTTAGCACAAATGTTAGCTTTTCCCAGAGCCCCGGCTGTGTCCCCAGGGAAGGGGACACTGGCCCCAGAGCACGGTGGGTGGTCATCAGAGTTCCTCACAGGGAGCCTCGCCAGGGGCTGAAGGATTTAGCTAGTTGTAAAACCTCCCAGGTTGGAGCCAGGGTCAGGGAAGGTGGGATTATGCAAAGCGGGCCTGTGCCCTGCCTCCCTGGGTGCCTCTCCGGGCTGGCTGCCCACCCCTCCAGTACCCCTTAGCCAGGATTCTCCCTTCTGGCTGAAGGGGCCTTCCCAGAGTGGCATGTGCTGAGAGTGGGGGTCCTGCCAGGGTATCTGCTCAGGGCATAGGCAGGGGACTTGGCAGGAGGCTATAGGCCGTGAGGGAAAGCGTCTCGCTGCAGACCCACACCCTCTGGCCTCTTGCCACGGGCTCTGCATCCCTGGGGGGGCGTGGAAGGCATGGGCGCCCGCCAGCTGGGGGGACTGACCACGGCCACTCGTGGTGGTGTCCCATGCTAACGTAGGCAGGGAAAGCAAAATCCAAATCCAAACCCAAAACAGGTCCTCACAGCGAAGGAAAACTGAAAGGAAGAAAGAAGCCTTTCTCAGAGGGTCTGGGCCTGGGCCTGTCCTCAGCCTGTTCCTGCTGACCTGGGGGTGGGATCCGGGTCAGGGTCTCAGCAAACTCACCTTCTCCCCTCTGCCCTCCGAAACACAACGGACCACAGACCGCTGACGGCACAAGGGCTCCGGGACAATGGATTTCCAAGGTTCAGCCTGAAAGGGGACTTGTTTTCTATCAGGCTTACCTGGATGGGAAAGTCTCACCGTGGCCCAAATCCCCTCCAGAGAACTACACTTGGTGGTCTGTGAGGTGGACAGGATCCACCTAGCCAAGTCCCTACACGGAGAGAGTAGAACCACGAGGTCAGGAGTGTTCTCCCAATCCGCCAGGGGAGACCAAACCACAGGCCGCTGTCGCCACGGGGCTAGTCATGTGCCCACAGGGCCGGTGGCCCCCTGGGAAACAGGCCGGTGGACGGGATAACCAGGCCTGGAGGGTCTTCTCATTCCTTCCCTTTATCTACCAACCCCTCCGGAGGTTTCAGCACGTTTAGAACACAAGACCTGGGGAAGAGACATTCAAAGGGGAGCACTGGGAGAACCCCACCTCTTTGTGGGTGAGGGGAGGCCGGAGGCTCTCAGGAGAGAGTCTGAGTACCTGGTTAGGGCCTCTGGAGGTGGTCAGGGAGAGCCAGCACCAGGCTGGGGCAGCCTAGCCCGGAGCGCCCACAGGGGGCTTGGCATAAGTGGTGACCTCCGCCGGATGAAGGCAGGGCCTGGCTCACACGCTGGCGTCAGTCGCTATGAGGATCAGCTGTGGGAATGAGTCTGAGGACAGGCCGAGGGGCCTCCGTCCTTCCTGGCTCCTTGGCCTGGTGTTCAGTGAGTTGTTTTGCCCCTGGAAGGTCACACTCTAAAAGAGCCCCTCTGTCTGCTATCAGGAGGGGACTCCACAGGCTGGGCTCACAGCCCTCCGTGGCACGGGGTCAGGGGTCTAGAGCCAGGGGCCCCGGATGTGGGTGGGAAGGGGAGGGAGGAGGCAGGCCCTGAAGACCGAGGACAGTCGCAGATGCGGTGACAGACAGATGTGTGGGAAGCACCTTTGGAAGGGGACGTCTCGTGGCTGCGCTGATGGCTTCTGTTGGGACGCATGGTGAATGGAGAAGCGTCAGGCTTGCTGGGGAGGAGAGGTTTTCTGGCAGGGGAGTGGCCCCTGGATCACCTTTCTCTTGGCTAAAGCGGGATGCCTCCCCAGCCCAGCGGACAGACAGACTCCCTGCTTTTGTCAGAGCGCGGCTGGAAGACGGGACATCAAACACAAGACAGGGAGGAGACATGCGGAGCCCGGGGTGGCGGCGCTGGCCCTGGAGCTGCGTGCAGGGGAGCCCGGCTCAGCCCGGTGTCTGCGCCACCCTGCCTGCGAGCTGACCGGGCACGAGGCTGGGAGGAGGTTGGTTTCTCCTTCGGAAGTCCTGGACAAGCCCAGTGTCAGCTCGGGTCCGCCTGCTTTCCCGGGTCCACTAATGCCACCAATGTACCCCTCTGGCCAGCAGGTCCAGGCTCTGCAGACTCACACCACGGCGCTGTTCACATCCACCCCTTTGTTGCTCTGTGAGGAGGTCATGGGATACTCAGCAACATTGGTGCCATTCTCCTCTTTTCTCAGTGGTTTCCTGGGTGGGGAGGCAGGGACAGCCGTTAATGACCAGGGACTGGGGTGGGGGGTATCATGTCCTTTCAGGGAGCCCACCAGGCTCTGTTTTGGGTTAGCATCCTTGGGGTGAGACCACCTCAGAAGCTGGAGGCGGTCTCAACGAAGGTGACTGCATCACATGTCATGCACACCAGGGCACAGTTGAGAGTGAAACAGGGGAGCTTTTGATAATGAAGCAGGGACCACAGGCATGAATCGGGACTGTTCTGGACAAATGAGAAAGGAGAACGTACGGTCAGCCTAGTAGGACACAGGGTCGGGCTTTGATCGATCTCACTGATTATGAGCAAGCAGATGTGAAGACGACTATTTGGGGGTGCAGAGTGGAAGAGGAGAGGTGCCAGAGCTTGGATTTTGCAGCCTTGCCTCTGTGTGGTCAGCGGTAAGTGGAAAATGTGATGAAGAAGATGGCAGTGAAGGTGATGCTGGTGGTGGTGATGGGGGTTGAGGTGGCGGGAATAGTAATGGGGCGGAGTTGGTGGTCATGGTGGTGCGGGTGGTGGAGGTGATGGTGAGGGGGCTGGTGGTCATGGTGGTGCGGGTGGTGGAGGTGATGGTGAGGGGGGTGGTGGTCATGGTGGTGCGGGTGGTGGAGGTGATGGTGAGGGGGCTGGTGGTCATGGTGGTGTTGATGGGGGTGGATATGGTCATGGTGGTGCGGCTGATGGTGGCAGAAGGGGCAGGAGTGAATGTCCAAACTAAATGAGTGCCCACTAGTGGTTCTCAAACCCTTCACGTTGGGCCACTTGAAGTTCATCCAGAGGCTGTTTAACGCCAAGAGCCATTTCTGCTATCCATACGCGGCTCAGGAAGGCTGGGAGGGAGGCTTTGAGAAGGCTCTTGCTCACGTGCAGGGGTTCTGGATCTGCAGTCCTGCTTTCTGGCCTGGCTCCAATCCCACCTCCTCTCCTGACTGGTTCAGGAGGGCTCCGGCCCCCAGCGCTAGGCCTGCTGGCTACAGCCTCCCGATCTCGGCCACTTACAGGCTGTGGCGCCCAATCCCATATTGCAATACTGCTGCCTCTTGTGTGAAGCTGAGGCCCATGGGGTCGTCACTCAGTCACCTCCTCTGTCCCCACTAATGCTGGGGCTGAGCCTAAACTGGCCTTTGTTGTGCGTTGTCTAAACTGAATGTCCAAGGCCATCTTTGAAAGCCTGGTGATTGGTTGCTTCTGCCTTCTCAAATGTCCCCAGAGCCTTCCCAAACCCAGGCTGAGGAGGACTGGCACCTGGTGACCAGTGGGTGCCTATAGGACAAAGTCTTAGGTGAATTAGTTTGGGGGAGGCAGGGTCTGCAGGGTGGTTATCAGTAGTTTCATGGGTGGGATTATCAGGCCTGCTCAGAGGAACACCCTGAGATCACATCTATTAACTGTTCCCTTTTTCCTTGCAGCAGAATTAGCTCACAAAACACAGAGAAACCCAAGTGCACTCCCTCCGGGTGTCAGGCTCAGCCACGGTGGCTTCTAGAAACATGAGATGCAAACCAGCCCTTCCTCCTGGGGCCCATCACACTTTGTGCAAAGCACTCTTGGTTACAGATTTTCTTGTCCCCTCTCACAATGGTACCCTGAAGAAGCTAGGCCTGGGGTTAAGAGATTCATTTCATGGGGAAACTGAGGCTTAGGGAGAGCTGTCACTTGCCCAAGGACCCCCGGCTGGTTGGGGGCCACCTGCTCCTACCATATCCTCGTCCAGACATCTTTCCATTAAGTCAGCATTCCCAGCAGGCATTGTACCCCAACACAAGGGGTTCCCATCAGCTTGGGAAGGCCTTCCTCCACCCTCCTCCTGGAGAGTTCCAAAAGTTCTCAAGAGTCCCATCTCCAAGAGGCCCGTCTCATTTTGCTTGAACCCAGCACATCCCAAGAACCCCATTTATGGAGACGCTCAGGGACACTTTCCAGAACCCCCAGGTTTGTAGGGGTCAGACAGTTGCCTTGTTTGTGATGGGCTTGTGGAAATGACAGCCTCTGAGCCAGCCTCCGTCGCTGGGCCTTTCCTCCTTGGTCTCCTTCCTTTCTCTCCTGGGCCACCCACCCCTTTACAGGGGCTTCGAGCAGCTCTGACTTTGCTGGGTGGGCTTCATTCCTGACTCTGAGTTTGCATGGCCCAGGAAATTGGGTGGGGTGGTGCATTTCCTACATTTGTCATCAATCTACAAGGGGGAGGATGGACATCAGAATCAGGATTCCGGAAAATAGGAACAGACAAAAATCTTTGAGCCCAAACCCACACTGCTTTTCTCCCTAGTAAATGTTCAGTCTTGGGCTAGGTCTGAAAAGTCAACCGGAGCCAAGTCCGGGTCAGGGGAGATTAGGCTGAAGGGCCTTCCAGAGTGGATAATGGAGAGATGAAGAAAGGGGTCTGGAACTCCCATGGAAATGGGCAAAGCATGGAGGGCACAGAGTAGGAAATCAGCAGGATTTCTTCTGCCAGGAGAAGAGGTGAAATTTCTAAAGCCAGGCTGTGCTAGGGGACCCTTTTGCATTCCCTGGAGGCTTGGAGGGAAATGTTGGCACAGAGGACCCAGCAGGAAGCAAGCCTGGCTGGAGGGACGCTGAGGACAAGGCAAGGAGACAGCCCCAGGGCCTTCTTGATGGCCCCAGCCAGCTTCCCAGGCAGGAAAGGACAAAGCAGGTCTGGGCAGGGGTTCCACCCAGCAAAGTGGTACTTGCGGCTGGCGCAGCGCCCCCCCCCCCCAACCAGGAGCACTCCAAGAGTCTGGGCATGGCAGGGGGAGCTGGGGGTCGCTGTCCCAAGGGTTCTCCTGAGAAATGGACCTGGTCTGCTCCCCTCCTTCACCAGAGCTGAGCCCTCAATCACTCTACTCTCCGGGCTGTAGCCCCAGCCCACTCCCAAAGCCCTTCTGGGGTTCACAGAAGCCCAGTGGAGTCTGGGGTTTTAGCTACAGCGGGAGATGGCTCTGCCTCACTCCTCCTCGCTGTCCTTCCTCTAGCGGGGCACTTCACGGTGATGCTGCCCAAGCGCTGGGATGTCACGGCTCAGTAAACCCAGGCCCCACCACTTCCAGCTGTGTGATCTTGGGCAAGCCACTTAACCCCTCTCTGCCTCAGTTTCCTGGTCTATAAAATGGGCACAATAATGGAGTCCATTTCATAGGCTTTTTGGGAAATACATTAATGTGGGTTAAGCACTTAGATGAGCATCTGGCATACAGTAAGTGCTCCATAAGTGTTTGTTAGCTCTCGGTACTGCCATTGGAAAGGAGTCAGCGGGGAGCTGTCCTGTGGGCAGGCGGTGGCCAGCGCTCTCCAGTCTGCACAGACTTCCTACCTAATGCATGCCCCGTGGGGCTCCGGAAATGCCAGAGAGGCTTGCTGGGACCCAGCCTGGCTCCGCAGTGCCGTGAGCCAGCCGGGGCTGGCCCCACTAAACCAAAGAAAGGCATCTGCACCCTGGTGCAGGAAGGGATGGCCACAGACGACGCCCTACAAGGCATGGCTCCTAAAACCAAGAGAAAGGGGAGTGAGCTTTTCCTCGGCCGTGTCCAGGATTCCTGCGTGCCGGAGGTGGGTCCCCCACCCTGGACCCCTTCCGCCTTGCCCGGCCAGCAGCAGGTACTGCGCGGTCTTTCCATGGAGCGCTGTGCTGATGGCTTGGCGGGGCTCAGGCCACCAGCCACGGCCTCCACGGGAGCCGCCTCCCCGCGCCGCCCGCCTGGGCAGGGAGGGCCAGGACCCAGGCGCCCCTCTTGGGTCCTGCTGACAATGATATGGCAGGTCCCACCCTCAACCTGCAGCTCTGCCAGGGGAGCTGGGGACAAAGACAGCTCTGAGGAGCCTGGCAAGGGAGGGCTGCCAGCTCGCTCCATGTCTCAGGCCCCCCACGGAAGGGTCTGGTCCGTGAGGTTTTGAGTCTCAGACTCCCTCTTCCGAAAGCATCCATCCTCCCCTGCACCCACCCCCGAAACACACCCCACCCCACCTCTATACACACACCCACCCATAACTACACACATACCTACACACACCAGAGCGTGCATACACTCACACCCATGCACACCCCTCACACATACACACCCCCTTCCACGACGAGATGCCTTTGTCGCCTGCAGGCTTCTCCAAACCTGGGTCAAGAAGCCAGGAAAAGCCTTTTTGCGAGCCAAATATCCCGGGTATTTGCTGAAGAAGCACAGCCTCATTTCTAACCCAGCACACCTCCTCCCCTCACCTGCGTGAAGGTGAGTCAGGGATGCAGCTGAGGAGCATCCTCACCCTCCCACTGAGCCCCCGGTTGGACCACCTCCCTAGGGCTTCCTTGCCCAGCCACCTCCGGCTGAGCAAGCTGAAGGCGGGCGTCGGGAGGCTCGCGGGCTGGCGCTCGCCCCTGGGACCCAGTCAGCAGGGCCGGGCATTTGGACCTCACTCCGAGGGCTCCTTAAATCAGGGACTTCTGTCTTACCCCTCATCCCGCCCCACGACTTCCACCCAGCATGTCTACAGAGATGAATTCAGGGAGGGATGGAGCTTCCTGGTGACAGAAGGGCCCCGAGAAGCAGGGACCCGTCTGGTTCTCCCATCCACTGGCGCCGAGCGTGCCCACCATCTGCCTGCCTTTCTGGCCACGACTGGCCTGCAGCACCATGCGCCTCACTGCACGAAGCTGCTCCCCCTGCAGCCTGCCTCCCACCACCAGGACAGGATTCCATCTCCAGCCACAGCAGGTGGGTCCCCGGTTGGGGGCAGGGCGAGGGGGCATAAATGAGCCCAAGCGAGCATCTCGGCCCAAGGCAGATGGGGACACACAGTGCCCTTGCCTCTTCTGGGCTACATCTCTTGCCCTCGGAGGGAGGACTGTGCAGGTGATAAAGATGAGAGATACTGTGGCCTGTGGGACTCAAGAGAAGCCTGCGTGTTGACCCCACCACTGGGGAAAAGCAAGCCCTGGGCTGCCTGGAGGGCGGCTGTGAGCCCCGGAAGAAAGACCACCAGCCCC